CCAGTCCAGCAGCAAGCCAACAGCCGCCAGTGCTCCCAGTGTCACCGATAGTTTCGGAGTGCGGGTGGCATTGCAGAACATCGCTGTACCCAGTCCTGTTCTGCCCCGAATGTTGCCAATGCCACAAGCTCTTCACCTGTACGCCTATGTATTCGGAAACCGTGCTGTCCCGCTCACTGTTCCATTTGTGAACGTTGCTGTAAGTCGATCCAGGGCTTTGCTATCCACAACTGCAACCGATCCACCAGGCGTCCAACTGCTGATGAACGGGACAAGTTCCAATTGCAATGTCAGAATTGCAAGAGGCGTTTCAAGAGGCGAAACGACTTATCCCGTCACCAACGCTCATGTCTCCTCTCGTCTCCGTCTCGCTCAACGAGAAACACGTGACCTACATGGCAGTGTATACCAGGACCAGGACCAGGATGTGTGTGTGTGTGTGTTCATGTGTGTGTGTTCATGTGTGTGTGTGTGTGTGCATGTGTGTGTGTGTGTGTGTGTGTGTGTGTGTGTGTGTGTGTGTGTGTGTGTGTAAGTGCGCGTGAGAGTTCGCCATGTACATGTATGTGTGAGCAGGGGTGGATAAGCAGGGGTGGAATGGGCAGGGTAGACAGAGCAGGGGTAGACAGAACCTAGATGTTTTTGCCTCTGTGCAGGTTGTAGGATGTGGAGTGTTCAAGTACAACAGTAGCGAAACACCAACACCATACCTGTAGTCGGTGGTTACCAGTATCAGCAATGATCACTCGTTCATCATCTGTTACATGCACAGCGTCTGGGGCATAGAACTCTCCACACTTTCTTCCCTCGACGCCAACCGTCTGCTTGCACTGGCCATCAACCCCATGTATCTAAGTGCATTAACAAAAAGGAATACAATAACAAATTCAAGCACACACATGCACACAGACATAGCGCAGATCTAAACATATACATTAGAATGTAATTCTATGGTGAGAATCTAGCCACAAACTCGCCCAGAAAATATCAGGCAAACATCCACTCCCCGATTCGCTGATGGCCGACCCATTCACATCACAACCATAGCGAGGACGATTCATTATTTTTAAGTTTTAACCATAGCGAAGACAATCCCATTGAGATGTTGATATTCAGACCCAGCAAACAGCGGTTCGTTCCAACACAGCAACAGAGCTCATCAGTGGAGTGTGTAGATAATGGCTGATTCAGGAACATGAGTGATGTTGTATAGGGAAAAAAAACTATCACTCGGAATTTCACACTTTCTCTCTAGTGTGGCATGCCCTAGCAGAACAAATGTGCAAGGTGATAACAGATGGTTTTAACAGAGGCCATGCACGTGTGCATTGCTTGGACCTGCATGATGTCATGTCCAGCATGCGTATACATATACATGATGTCATGTCCAGCATGAGTATACATGTGCATGATGTCATGTCCAGCATTCGCATACATGTACATGATGTCATGTCCAGCATGAGTATACATGTGCATGATGTCATGTCCAGCATGAGTATACATGTGCATGATGTCATGTCCAGCATGAGTATACATGTACATGATGTCATGCCCAGCATGAGTATACATGTGCATGATGTCATGTCCAGCATGAGTATGCATGTACATAATGTCATGTCCAGCATGAGTATTCATGTACATGAGTAGCTATTGGCTACCAGCAGAACCTCTAACTGTCTGGTGATTGATTTCTTGCACCAATTCTACCACTGCATGTAGCCCTTTCCCAAATGTGCTCTTTTAATTCGCACTTAGTGCTTTTCGCGTCCCTCAAAATATGCTGAAAAAGTGCTCTTTTTTCAGTGAAAACAGGCAAAATGTGCTCTTTTTTCAGTGAAGCATAGCCATGTAACATTTTCAGATATGAACCCAAGCTGAGAAATGAATACGCACTCTTCCATTTATGGATCCAAGAAAGGCAAAACAGGAAGTAAAGTTCAAAAAACCCACTTTTACAGCATTGTGTACAAAGTACAAGCTTCACCAACTTCATGCCCCCGAAAAAAGCGGCGCCCATCGAGCACTCGGAAACTGTGATCGCATGCATGAGCAAAAAGATTTTAGCTAGAGTGAGAGAGAGAGAGAGAGAGAGAGAGAGAGAGAGAGAGAAAGAGAGAGAGAGAAGGAGAGAGAGAGAGAGAAAAGAGAGAGAGAGAGAGAGACAGAGACAGAGAGAGAGAGATAAATTAAGAGTTGGTGTAGAAGCAATGTAGCCTTGTTGATGCAAGAGTGAAGCCAGCGTGCAGACGTGCATATACATGTACTTGGAAAAGTAGTGCGATGTATCAAACCGTTGTGAAGTTTGCCACCTCTGACCTGGTGCAAGCCATATGTGTGCATTCCCGGTGTCAACTGCCAGCTGCACTGTTATGCATGATGGATGCGAGACCCGCATCGGTACATTACACAAATGTATGCCTTAACCATATCTTTATAGGAAAATCTAACAATGGTGGCACTCTAGTACTGTCTTTGTGATCGATAACGATCTCAAATATAGGCTGAGCATTACACTCTGGATGAATCTTAAATTGCCAAAACATTTCTAAAAAAAGGAGATGCACATTATACTCCGCCAAATACCTTTATTCTGTGGTTGCAGCTGTCACAGATGATCAGGTCACCAGCTTTGTTGGTTGCTAGTCCCCAAGGGCTGTCAAACTGATCTCTCCTGCTGCCTTCACTACCAAATGAGTACCTTGCTTTGTGGATCTGTGTGTAATCACGCTGCAATACAGGAGAGCAGTGGGAACAACAGCAATCGACACTAGGACCATAGAGGTTGAAAGTAGTGATGCCATTGGCCCAAACCTGGCTGGGTGGTCATTGAGACCGTTGGTTGCCGGACCCTGTACCACACGGAATCCTGTATTCATACTTGGCAACCCAGCCAAATCAAATCCCTTAGTCACATAACCAGTTTCCCCTAATTTTCTCTCATTTCTCTTATTTAGCTAGTTTTAGCCAATTTCGTCTATTTTCTCTTTTTCGGGCAATTTTTGAGTATTTTGCGAATTGTGCGCAATATTTTGGCAATTTTGTTCTTTCTTTTTATTCATTTCTAACCCATTGCTCATTGGACCAAAGCTTGGATTTCTTCATTATCAGATCGCCCCTACGTAAGGGATTCTGTGAAAAGCAGGGCCGCATGTGCCCTTGTCACACCACAAAACAGCGTTTTTGTGAACAATCATGGTTCAGTGCCAATTCCAGTAGTTTTTCGATCAAAGTCAGAAATCCCCGGTATGCCGGTAGTTACCGGGTTACCCTAGTTACACACACACACACACACACACACACACACACACACACACACACACACACACACACACACACACCAGCACCACACACAAACATACACAAACACCCACACACACCTAGTCTTACCTGCTTTGTTGGAGATTCAGCTATTTCTGCTGCTGCTGCTGATGATGATGATGATGATGATGGTGACAACGTGTTTCTGGGCAAAGTAGTCTGATCTGAGGCTGAACCTTGTCTGGGCACTCTATCTGGTGTTTCAGCTGAGGAAGCGCTGGATGACATCATCGGTGGTGTTGCAGAAGATGTAAATGTACTGCCTGGTGATGGAGTGGACTGGGGAATAGAATCACGGCCATATCAGGTAGTCGGCATCGGTGCTTGCTAAAGTATTCCAAATCGACAAAAAGCGCAATGTATGGTCCTTCAATAGCAGGTGTGTACATGTATATGACAGCCTCATTGGGCAGTGCCCTTGTTTTTCCGATGCCGTTTTATGCTCCTTCTAAAAAAGGCAATTATGCCTTCAATTATTATTTATTATTATATGTGTATAACAGTCTCATTGGGCATCGGCCCTTCTTTTTCCCATGCAATTGTATGCTCCTTCTAAAAAAGGACCTGATTATGCCAAAAATTATGCCCGCAAAATCCGCTTACCCCTAGCAAGTGCAGCGCTGTGCCGCGAGTCCGCAGCCTTTTCGTTGAAGCATCAACTGATGATGTAATCAAATAACGTCTATTCACACAGGGGGTGATGAGAATAGCCAGGGCCGTACTAGCAAGAGTACAGAACCAAGAGTGTGAAACTCCTACATGTATCTTGAGCTGCGATGGGTTCACCCACGGCGGAATTTTTTGATTGCCTCATCTTTTGGCAGAAGTTATGATGAAGTGGGTATTCTTTCCGGCGCTTGTTTTGTAAATACGGTGAGAGTTCGTCAGGTTCAAGACACGTCGATCTTTCGTCCGTTGTTCTGCTTCGACTACCGTAGCTGTAATGTACACATTATTTGCACTTTGATCTCTGGCTACGCATGATGGCATCAGTGAGCTAAACCGCCGCCAAAGACCATGAAAGACTGATGTCATAAAAAAATTCCGCCGTCCGCTGGGGAATCGTAGAGTTGCACACTCTTGGTTATGTAGTCTTGGTACTACTAGTAATAAATAATCCAATCATGAATAATACTATTCATGAATGGATTCATGAATGGATTCACGTTCATGGGTTCAACAAATTTAATTGATTTGTGGGCAAAATCGAACGCACTCACGTGAGTCTGTATGTAGTCTGTAGTCCAGGTCGGATCCGTACTGCGCTCGTTAGCCTGTTCAACTCTCCCAGCACGGCAACAGCCTGTTGTACTCTTGCCTCTACTCTCTAGGCCGCTACTCGACTCACTACTCGCACTGACGTCGTTATGTTACTGTATACTACCGGTACTACCGGTGGTGGTACTAGTAGATCTACATGTAGTACGGAACATTTTGTGCTTATGCTCGTCGTTTTCTTCGTCACCATGGTCACGCATGGGTAGACTCCCGATCCCAGGAATCAGGATCTAGATCTCTCAAGTCTCATGACATGTAGATCTACTGTTCGGTGGGAACCAGGGAGTCGTAGGGTCTATACGACTCCCTGGTGGGAACATAATGTTGACTTCAAAATAATTATTGAAACTTTATTTTTTAAATGTTTGCGTTTGAAAATAATTGGCGGACTACATAGTCACTAGTCATTGTACTGGATCGTAGATGTACGAGTACCATGTAGACAGCAAGAGGCAAGACTACTACATGACTTTGTAGGACTACTAGTTGTTCAGTCAGTAACACTCACTGGAGCAGTGCATAGCCTGGTGTTGGCCATTAGGTATTTCTGGTATTTGCAGATTACTTGTATGGAGTCGACCCTGGTAGTTCCACATGTATCAAAGGAGGCGAAATCGCCTGTTTGTGGTGCGACGTTAAATAAACTTCTACTTCTAGTTACATAGAGGAGAGTCGTGTTTTGCTAATCGGTTGACGTTCGTTAGCTAGCGGTGTTTTGATCTTACTCGTACAAACTACCCCAGCGTAGCGTGCACTGTGACGGTAAGAGCATGAAAAAAACTGGTACATGTAGACATGTAGTGGAGGAGCAGACAATTGCACAAAATTTAAAATAATGCTGTGTAAAATAGAAAGTTCTAGGTACGTACAGAGAGGCAGCTCCCATTTGTATGATGCTTGTCAGTGTTTGTGAAGGTATTGAAACTTGAAGTATGAAAAGAATTACTGAGGAAAACTCTGAAATTACAGTACTCGTAGAAAAAGATTTTAACAAAACAATCAAGCCGTGATGAAAAGTATGTAGCATGATATTTGAACTTGTAGCATATAGCACGCACTGGAGCAGTCATGGAGACACCAGTAGTCTTCCTGTGGAAATGACATTGATTTTGGAGTTTGCTGTTCAAACACGCCGCTACGCAAGCAGTTAGTGGCACCCAGTTGCTATATTCTACATTGTATGTGTTTGTGTGTGCGTGTGTGTGCTCTCCGTTACCTATCTCTGTGTTTGTTGCTATGGAGTCTAATCTCTCTCTCTCTCTCTCTCTCTCTCTCTCTCTCTCTCTCTCTCTCTCTGTCTCTGTCTCTCTGTCTCTGCAGAGCAAGCTGTGCAGTGTACTGGACAGTCATATGGAAGAACCATACAAGGTCACTGAGATAGCTCGCCACAGCTAGTCACTATGGACGCTAAAGCCCTCGCTGACCATCTAACCAACTTCTACTCTGGAAAGACAGCAGCACGTCGACTCGCCGATGATGAAGTTGCGGCAAACGTCATGTGCAGGGTGACCATGGTACAAAGTGGTACTGTGCCGACAAGGCTGAGTGAGGCATCAGGACGGCGCACGGCGTTCGTTGCCGGCCGAGATACTGCCTGCCGCGTTCTGCCATGCAAGTCACCGTATGATGTCCTGCTCGCCCTCGGTCTAACACGCGAGTTCATCACCCTCAAGGTAACAGCTACGGGAAATCAGTACCTGTTTTAAAAAATGCCTAACAGCATCAAATGAGCCTGGAAGTGTTTTCGACTTGTGGGATGCGAGCTACAGTCAGACCTCGCTTAACCGCACGCACCCTTTTTCTACGAAATTATCCGGGTAGGTGAGGGAACCGGATAATCGAGCACACATACTGTATGTATGCATGACATATGCTGTAAATCGGTAACCAACGATTTTCTTCCGGATGGCGAGGGATCCGGATGAAAGAGGACCGGATAAGCGAGGTCCAGGCTCGTGTAATTTGTATGGGATGTGATCTACCATGCTCTTGTAATGTGTGTAGTACAGTTGAACATCGATTATCCGCACATCGACTATCCGACCATTCGATTATCCGTAACAGTTTTTTTGGGCGCACGTGCCGTAGAGTACGCACTGTGCATGTAGTGAGCCATTCAAAAAAATACGAAAATTTTGAAAAGTAAAAAGTGAAAAGGTCGTGCGGCTAGTAATAACCACTGAAAGTGTGTGCGTGACAGTTTTTTCTTATCCGGAACATTTGCCTTATCTGAACACCGCCTGACAGTTGTCTGCCCAGAGGTGGTCGGATAATCGATGTTCAACTGTATGTGATCTACCATGCTCCTGTAATGTGTGTAGTATGTGATCTACCATGCTCCTGTAATGTGTGTAGTATGTGATCTACCATGCTCCTGTAATGTGTGTAGTATGTGATCTACCATGCTCCTGTAATGTGTGTAGTATGTGATCTACCATGCTCCTGTACTGTGTGTAGTATGTGATCTACCATGCTCCTGTAATGTGTGTAGTATGTGCAGTTGTACACCACTGTAGTGTATGGTGTTAACATAGAGTATGTTTAGAGTATGTTGAGCTATACTGATCTGCAAGCACGTGTAAAAGCGTATACCGTATTTTCCCGAATATAAGTCGACTTCGATTATAAGTCGACCACCCCAACATCCAGGAGTCAATTTCATTAAAAAAAGTTGTTATAGCTCCATGACACCCACACATACAAAATGATGAGTTCTCTGCGAGGAGAGATCATATCATGCCAGTAAGACAAAATCTGAACAAAACCAGTGTCAGTCGCAGGACGAAAGTTCACATGGTTCATACGATAGTGCATTTTTGTACGGACACTCCAATCACTTCATTTGTTGTGCCAGATTCCCGTATGTAAGTCGAGTTCCGTTTGTAAGTCGGCCCCCAGCTTTTGGCGAAATTTCTGGCGCACAGAAGGTCGACTTATATTCGGGAAAATACGGTAAACGTCAACTAGGACAAGTGATAGATATTCGCCATAATCTCTACAGTTCCAGTGACATATGACAAGAATCCACCTTTCTGTGGCCAGTGGCGTGTACCCAGCCATCAGCATTACTTGTGATGAACACGGTGTATGTCTGTGATTTGTGTGGTGATGAACAGAGTGGATGTGTGTGATTTGTGTGGTGATGAACAAGGTGGATGTCTGTGATTTGTAGCAAAGATCTGGGAACGGTGTATACTCCTGAATACGGTTCGTAACACTGGCTCAACCGAACGTCTTTACATTATGCATATTTACTTACAGCTGTGTGACGGTGCTAAGTCTACATCATCCGATTGTTCTGGATGCAGAATGATGACGATTTGCAGTGCCTGAAAACTTGATGCGTGTGCTTTGCTTCCGGATTTTTTGCTTGTCCCTGTGCAGTGCGAGGTGGACAAGAATGATGCATGGCTGCTGCTCTTCCAGGCCAAGATTGTCAAATGTAATAACAGTCATGATGCTGCTCTTGCCCAGGCTCATCAACAAGACGTGCCCCATGACAAACCCGCAGACGCTCACTTGCCGCAGTGCGTGCCAGCAACGTGGAGCGGTATCGTGGAGCTTTGCCGCCAGTTCTACCCCGGTGCCGTGCCTGACGTGATGCGGCATCTGAGCGAGTTCCGTGCGCGCTCAGTTGCCGATTACGAGAAGGCGCACGGCGTGAATTTTCTCTCAATAAAACGATCGCCCAGCCAGTTAATGGACTATAGCAGATTCATGGCACTTGCAGCTCCTCGCTCGGCCTGGCAAACGCGTCTTTTTCTCTACTGTGAATTACGCCTCTTGGAGCTCTTCACTGGTCAAGGGTTTACGAAGAATGAGTCGGATGCTGTCACAGTGGGAAATGAAGACCATTGGCCGTGTCTCCGAGAATACGTGTGTGAAAATGCCGAGCTGGCCACACAGCTGAGCTCCGGTACGGCATCTCTGGTCAAACTGCAAGTAGTACTGCCGGATGAACTGCAGTAGTAATTATTACAATGGTGATGTTTGTTTGAAAAGGGTTTGCTCCCCACACTGGAGCTCATGCTACTAGTATTTGTTTGTTTGTTTAGCTTCATTTTCTTTCACCATAGGCACAGGAGAAATGCCTTCTCACTGGGCGTATTGCCACAGTTCTCGCAAAATGATGGAGATGTTTTTTTTATGTTCACCTTGAAGTTGATTTTGAAGCAGTGAACTCATGATCGTCGTATCATTATTGAAGGAGCCAGGTCAGTTGGTATGATGAGATGGCATCTTTGGGCTAAGTTAATTTATAGTAAAGAAAGGGACCAAGGAAGTACTTTGTATTTCTCGCCGGCCGAGCGCAGTGAGATAGGCGAGAACTGATTTCTCGCGAAATATTTTTGTTGCAAATATGGCATCTGGTGTGTTCTTTATTGTCGCTTCTTTTCCTGACTTCTTCTGTCAGTTTTGAGTCTTACCAGTGTCCCTGCCCTCCCACACTTCATTTATGTGCTTATTATCATTGCTATTTTATCACTTTTTGCCGTGATGTGCTTACCATGCCTACATGATGCATAATCGCCATTGGGGATATACACCCGGTTTTTAACCCTCACAACTGTGTACGCCGGCGCGAGGGTTTTTTCCCGGCTGGCTCGGTTCAGAAAAATTAATCTGACGGTCCCAAGTGGTTCTGAATCATGGCCTATTTTTGCTATCCACTGGCACGCCTATTCTATCTGAGACACTCTGTTCTCAGTCCTTGCTTCCATACCTCATTCGCTATCCGGTTCACATCTGGCTGCGGCCAACTACCCTTCACTTTGTGTAGTGTCGTTATTGCGGTCTATGTCTCTGTGTGTGCCAGTATATGTGGAGCGAGAAAAGTTATGCTATAATGTTCACTAACACCCCAGTTACTTGACAATCAGCTCATGCGATAACATTGCACAAAGCTGACCTTATAATTATGTAGTTTCTTTGGTGCTTTTCTTTACTATAAATTATTAATCATTGGCTCTCCTTCCGAGTCTATCTTTGGCCTGAGTGCTTTTTTCCTGAAGTGAAGCAGGTTAAACAACTCCACCAGGATGGAGCATGTTATGCAGTCGACTCCTGATGTAGCGACCACCATTTCGGAGTAGAATTAGTTCTTTATATCCGAAGTTTGTTTGTGTTGCAAACCACCAGTTCTCAAGTGGGAAAGGCCTTCGCGCTTATGGCATTGTATTCGTTGCAATGTTGTATTTCGACTCCGCCGTACCGCTGATGTTTGCTGCATGGCATACGCTATATGCGCTGTGTGCGGTTTGCAGTGTACCACTGGTATACGCTGTCATGTCATGTTTTATATGTGTATGTTTTGATATACATGTACGCTGTTTTTGCATGCTATAAATAGCTGGTGTTATTAGTGTTAATTGTTAATTATTTGATGAAGTGAAATATACTGTGCAAGAGAAAAGAGTTGGCCTCGTGCCGTGTGGTCGTTCGATCCTGTATCCAACTTTGAACTTTGAGTAAAGCTTTCGAGTCGACATTCACTTTTAAAAATGGGATTCTCTACATCATGTAATGCCATACCTTCTCAATACAATTTCCCCAATTTCTGAGTGCATTTTTCTTGATTTGGTGTTGATATTTTGCCTGGGGACCCAACAGACTGTACTTGCATCTACATGTAGTTGCCACCTAACTCAGAACCTAAGGGATTCAGTGTAGTTATTCTGTTTCACATAGTACATCAAACGGACGATCATGCCAAATATTTTACGATAATGGAAAGGGAGAAAAGAGAAGATACCTTTCAAAAGTGGTGTGGAGAAAGCACAGAGCGCAGAGGTCTCTTGGGACAAGAGATCATGCGACTATTAGCCATGAAAGTGAACTTTCAAGGGACGCTAGATTTGGATGTGGTAGGACGTGAACTTCAAAAACAGGGGTAAAGGCGCTCCACAACTAACTTCGCAGCGACTATAATGTGGAACTGGTCCCTGTGAGATCCACGATATACACCTGCGCGTGTGGGAGGGGGGGGACATCGATAAAAATCAGAAGCAAGGAATAGGTCCGTTTGGACTTCGGAACCATGATTTGACATTGTATTCTCCCCCTCCCCCATATTGCAGGCACTTTCTTGAATTCTGCTCAATTTAATGATCCAAATACATGTACACAGACATCCACAAAACAAACAAGAAAATGTACCGAATTCTGCCTATTTTTCTGCCGACATTATCCGCTGAGGATTATCTCTTGCTCGCGATCACTTGTACGCGATCACTTGTACGCCTCTCCCCCCCCCCCCCCCTCAACCATAGCACGAAACAGGATAAGGATCACTGTGGTTTGCGCAGTGTGCGTGTGTGTGTGTGTGTGTGTATGTGTGTGTGTGTGTGTGTGCGTGTGGTGTGTGTGTATGTGGTATGTGTGTGTGGTGTGTGTGTGTGTGTGTGTGAGTGTGTGTGTGTGTGTGTGAGTGTGAGTGTGTGTGTGTGTGTGTGTGTGTGTGTGTGTGTGTGTGTGTGTGTGTGTGTGGTGTGTGTGTGTGTCCCATATGGTGCAGTGGTATGTGCAGCGATTTCCAATCGATAGGTTGCGGGTTCGATTCCCGACGATTATGGTCACACACGTCTTTCTTCTCTTTCTAAGACTCTTCCTGACTTTTCTTTCATTCTCCTGGGTGGTTACCAACAGCCAGTGCATGCCGGAGTATGTGGTGTGATGTGTGTGCGGGGAAAAAAAAGAAAAAAGACCAAAAATAGGGATTCACTGGCCAGAAAAAGTCACTTCAAATAGCTGTATGGTGTAGACCAGGCTGAATAGTGACGGTCAATTCTTCAGCCTTGCAAGCTGTTGAATGGTGCAATCCCAGCACAAGTTGCTATGGCATCTGCCGTAGCATTGCTATCATCGCCTCCGGCGATGGGCGTCAAAGGTCAAAGGTGTGTGTGTGTGTGTGAGTGTAGTCAGAGAGTGTGACTGTTTTATACACGTTTGATTGTTTGTTTCTTGTGTGTGTATGTGTGTGTGTCCACGTGACGCATGGCAAATGGACAATACAATAATGTACTTACATGTACATGTACGTCCGGTACGCAAACTAGTGAAAAATGCCTGTCAGAGTTGTGGAAGCATGAACATCCTCTTCATCTACATACATGTATGATGTGCATGTATGAACATGTACAAACTACTTTCTCATCAGTCGGATGTAATGGACCTTATGCCATTTGTACAGATCCACGAAATCCCGTAGAATCCCGTAGACCCGGTAGGGTGTTGAATGTGCAGGACCCTATTGTGTTTTCTGCTATTTCCACTAAGAAATGGGGCCTGAAGGCATTTCATACGAAAACCTTTTTTCCGACAAAGATCTAACTAGTCATTAGCTCTAACCAAAGTGAAGAAGCTGGAAAAGCGATTGCTGGTTATTGAATTATGACGCTAAAAAGGTCAAATGCGCATGCATAGCACACAATAAACACCCTACCGGGTCTACGGGATTCTACGGGATTTCGTGGATCTGTACAAATGGCATTATTATTATTTATTATTTATTTCACCTTCCCGTGGCCAGAGAATATAGGCCAATATGGAGGGAGGGGGGGGGGCGGTAGCCAGCCATGGCAGTAAACAAAAACAAAGCAAAAATAAATAAATATTATACATTACTGGAGGCAAAGAGAAACAAATCTGAACGAAGAATTAGCAGTTATTAGAACACGAGCTTCATGTTGGCCTTGAAATCCTTTAGCGTACAAGACGATTTTACTGATAGAGGCAGGGCCAGCCAGAGAGAATAGGCAGCGAAACACGGAGATCTGGTATAAGCTGATCTTCGGGCTTTAGGTAAAGTACAGGGATTGCGCGTAGGACGAGTGGGAAGAAACCAGTTATATTTACGCAAGTGTGGCGGGGCTTTGTCAAGACGAATAGAATGAACAACAATACACAGTTTTCGATCCGCTTGACTAGAGATAGGGAAGGTGTTAAACATATCATACAGCTCGGCAGAAGGAAAGTGTGATGGTTTGCGGAAAAGGACTTTGAGTATCCTCTTATTGTGGACTTCCAGGGTACTCATTAACGATTTGCTTAGTAGGGATGACCAGGCGGTTGAGCAATAGAGAAAAAATGGGGAGAATATAGCAATGATAAAAAAGGCGAATGCATTCAAGCGGTAGGTGGGAGCAGTGAGACACGAGGTGGCCAACAGCTTTACTGACTTTGCTACAGATATGGTCGACATGTCTACTAAACGATAAGTCTGAGTCAATGACCAAACCAAGATGCTTGTGTTGTTTTACCACTGTGAGGTCTGTGAGGGATCCGGGAAGAGTGAATGCATCGGTTGGCTCTGAGTTCGGCAGGAATAATATCTCAGTCTTGGCGATATTAGGTCTTAGTCTCCAGGTAGTCATCCACTGATGGACTTCGTTGATACCGCGCTGGAGACTGTCCCGCAGCCTGTCTAGACACTCATTGAACCGGAGCAGTGCAGTATCGTCAGCAAATAAGAACACACCTTCAACATGACTGGGAAGATCATTAATACACTAGGAAAAGGAGGGGCCCTAGGATGGATCCCTGGTGCACTCGGGACAGAACAGGTGAAGCATCTGAAAGAAGTCCACCTACAAAGGCTACTTGCGTTCTGTCGGATAGGCAGACAGGCATAAGGTCGATTCAATCATCCCTTCTTGCTTTTTTACTGCCAGATATCACTGGCAGATAACACTTCACAACATAATGTCATGCCCCAAGTGCTGCAAATGCACAGTCATCCACGATTAACAACAGTCATCTCTGCTGCGAGTGTGTCTCGCCAAACACTAATAATGAGTGACATCCTGAAAATTAATGATTTCCAGTGTAGTGAATGTCGTTTTGAACTGCGTTCTCAAGTATCACCTTTCACTGCTAGCAGCAAGCGGAAAATCTTGATGCTCGCAGGAGACTGGCGACCAGGACATGTTCTGCGTGTGACTACAATGAGAACTGGCCACCTGCGACGGAACAATTGTCTGTGAGCTGACCCTCCACATTGTGAACTCGTCCGAGACATACCCAAAACTGTGCTTCTCTGGATGGCAGTTGTTCGCCATGGGACATTAGCCAGCTAGATCGATGGGATATGGGATAGAGGGAACGATCAGAGTTGACTTGCGAACGCTGCACAGACAGTAAATACTTAACCCTTTGAGAGCCGATTGGAAATTTCAAAATTCTGCAT